CAATCGAGAGACTTTCTGTAAGTAAGAATTCCATTGTACCAGTACCGGTTACATATGGCAATAAAGTTCAAGTTCAAGTTTAAGTTAAAAATCGGAAACCAACCTGGATCTTGAAGATTCTTGTAGTGAATGACAGCGACTCTGTGGGAGCTGTGAAGAGGCGTTGTGACAAGTGCCGCGTGTCGTCCCTGGCCTCTCAGAGGGCTCAGTGCCGTCTGGCGCAGCGTGTGCAGAACGTAGGTGTGGCACTTGCTTTGTTGGGCAGCCCTGACTAACACCTTCCCTCACCAGGTCGGAATTCACACACAACACAAGTGCGCATGGTGTCCACAAGTAAACCTGTAGTAACAATCAATGCAAACAATCTTGATCCCTGTGTCATGTGCAATCACATGTTGAGCTTGCTGTTTTAACAGTGTGTGCATCATAGCATGCACAGCAACAGGTACAGCCTCAAGCCAGTTGGGTAGTGCTCCCAGGAGGGTATGTAGAGGTCTGAGCCCTGATCTCTCCCACTTGACCTCAGCGCTCAGGGCTGGAGACCCAAAGCTGCCCCTGAGCTCTCAGCACCAAGTGGCTCTGCTATCAAGAGCGAGAATTTGCTCATGGACCTCTGCATGACTTTGGAGACATTTGGCAGGAGCTGTGCAGTATTTCTTAATATTTTTCTTTATTTTGTGATTATGAAGATAATAGAGGTGTTTCTTACTAAATGCAGTAGTGTTTGTGCACATTAGAAGTGAGGTGCTGTGGTTCATGTGAAATGGCCATGATCAGTCCGTGCTGGTTACAGTATACTGTATGTGTGTGCCTTGCAGGATTCTATGGCAGGCCCTGGTCTATGGAGCAGAGGAAGGTGCTGTTCCAGTGGTGAGTACACGAGCTGTGCACTTTGCACGTGCCTGCAATGTTTTCAGGAAATGTGCAGAAACAGAGGTTCAGTAATGGGTGTGAAAGTATCATCACAAAAACTGAAACCTAGTGCAGTGAGGCAGGGACAGGGTGGATAGATACCGTAGGTAGATAGGATGTTGTTGTCGTTTTCTTTTCCTTTCAAAATACAAAGCATGTACTGTATGGCACACGTGTGGTTACATTCAGATGTCAACCTAACGAAAAGCCAGGTGCCTGCTGTCAGGCAGTCTGCGTTTCGCAAGGCTGCGGCAGAGCCGCCGCGCAGAAGATGGTTTTCTCATCTCTTTACAGAGACAGAAAGAGTGCACATCTTTCACTGGCCCTGGGCCCGTTCAGGTGCGGTCAGACATGTCTTCTGCACCCCTCCCCCAGTCTGTACCAGGGGCTGCACTCCGCTGGCTGATGTTCATAAAGAGACATCCTGTCTGGCCCTTCATGAAGTCTAAAGCAAGTTCATCACTATCTCACAGTGTCAGTTACTCTTCTAAGGATGACAGCACCGTATATATTGCATTCTCTTAGTGAGGGTGCTTGTGCACAAAACACCGGCATTGCAGCATGCTGTGATATCCGATTGCTCTCTCCTTCTGGAACGCACCACTCCTCCCCCCGAGCTGTCCGGATCTCTTGCCCTAGAGGTTATGGGTACGACCAGAGAGAGAGAGGCGTGGAGGGAGAGAGAAGGCTACACTGCAGGCCCCTCTCTCTCCATCTGTTCTTGATGTGTGGTCAGGTGTATGTGCTGTACCTTTGTCAAGAGATTGGCAGGGGTTTCAGCTGAGTTCCAGCTCAGGGATCGGAAAAGAGGAAGGCTGGACAGCAGAGAAAAGAGTGACTCTTTCATTTATATTTGCTTATTTAAACTCCTGAGCAGTGCTGGGAAGAGAGCCTTTTAGAAAGTAATCCAGTTCGACATGAGCCTGTATGAATTCAAAAACAATCGCAATCACCAGTCTAATGAACTGATAGTCCATGAAGGTGATGATGAGCACAGGTGGGAAGAGAGCTGGAAGGTAATGTGGATCGTGAGGTCCAGGTTTGAAGACATCTTTCCCCAGAAGGTCAGATGGCTGGCTCCATGCTGTCAGCTGGGGCATCTTGTTCAAAGCAGTTACAAATATGGGAAGACCCGTTCTGCCCATCTGTTACATGGAGTAGATAGTAGCTAACTGATCTGAAGATCTTATTCAGCTGTTTCCTGAAGGAAGCTGGGGTAGACTATTCCACTCTCCCACAACTCTTAAGAGTAAAGGTGGGGTGTGAACCTATGCCTTTAGAAAGACTGGAGCCTTCGGCTTCGACCTCTGAGCCACCCTGCGTCCCGGAGGTTCTAGGAAGGTGTAGTCTGAGTACACCGAGTACAGCTCCAGCCAGCCTCAGAGCTCTGTTGCCACAAATGGATGTTCTTTAGAAGTCATCACTGCATATGCATTACAAACTATACACATGGCACAATGGCTGTGTTTGGCAAGGGTACCCACTCTTTCAGTTGTTCCTGAAATGTCACATACAACAGGTGTGTGTCAACAACCTCATGTGTTAATACGACAGGTGTGTCTGTCTCTCTGCAAGGAGTAAATGTAGCCTAAACCTGATCAGGTCAGGTGCTACAGCACCTCAGCTGAAGTCCCCCTGTCCAGATGCTGCTCTCTTCCCAGGCTGGAATGAAGTAATTGTGTCTGTTCACTGCGCCGTCTCTGTCTGTGTGACTGCAGGATGCAGCGCTGGGGGCTCAACACCTACCTGTACGGCCCCAAGGACGACCTCAAGCACCGGCTGCTGTGGAGGGAGGTCTACTCCCCCGAGGAAGCAGGTACTGAGGAGGCAGGGGTCCGCTGTACTGACACACGCCCAGGGGGGAGTCTGAGCCCCTTGTCCACAGAGAAACAGTAGCTTATCGTGAGGGAGTTTAAAAGATCTGTTTTAGCAATAGAAAATATAAAAGTGGAAAATAAAAAAGAAATCTGAGATTTCTGCAGCAGGGAGGGAGATACCTTGGCACAATGGGACAGTGAGGGAAGTCCTTTTCAGTGTTGCACTCTGTCTACATGAAGGGCACAATTATGATGTGATGCATAAAATTGGATGTGAAGGGTGGAGGGCTAATTCAGGTGGGCCACAAGGTGGCACTGTGTTAGGGATGATAATCACAAGCCCATCATAGCTCAGCATACTGCCTTGATGTTCCGCCTCACAGCGCCACCTGGTGGCTCAGCTGAGTTTGTTCCCCACCCTGAATTTGGAAGTGGGCTTTTGCCTCTAGCTTCTTGGCTAGAGCAGAGACAGCACCACCCTTGCCTTTAACTCAGACTCACACTTTCAAAATAACAGATTGCAGCAACGGATGTGTGGAAAATCTACACCGTCTGAAGTAAAAGCTAATTGGCACTGACTGTTTCTTGGAACTGGCCTTTCGTGAAGAGAGAGAGCATCTCGACTGCAGACCCGGCTCTGTCAGGGGGAGGGCGGGACGCAGAGTGAAACGTGAAGCTCTCTCTCCGCCCGAGTGCTTGAGATGACTCCCCTTCTGTGCGCAGGCTCTGGAGGGAGGGATGAGCTATCAGTTTTCGCTTTGGCCTGGGGGCGAGTTGAAATGACAAGGTTTTGGAGCGAAGTGTTAACATGCTAGTGTCAGGACTCCAGCAGACAGGGCCCGATCGGTCAGCTGGTCTTGCTAATCTTTTCACAATGAGCTCCGTTCCAAATTCTTAAGATTCTTGTTACAGCAGAGCAGCAGCTAAAGCAGAGTCAGAGTAGACTGCGGCACCCTGGGCGGAGCGGTGGCTCTGAGGCTCAGGATCTGCGCCTGTGGCTGGAAGGTTGCCGGTTCGTATCCCGCGGCTGGCAGAGGAATCCTACTCTGTCGGGCCCCTGAGCAAGGCCCTTCACCCCAATTCCAGGGGTGCTGTATAAATGGCTGACCCTGGACTCTGACCCCAAGCTCCTCTCCCTGTCTGTGTGTCTCATGGAGAGCAAGCTGGGGTCTGTGAAAAGACAAATTCCAAATGCAAGAAATTGTATATGGCCAATAAAGTGATCTTATCTTATCTTATCTTTATTTGGCACAGTGACATTCTCAGTTGAAGTGCTGTTGGACAATGGGCAGAGCCCAGCTCTCCTGATTTAATAAGAGGCCGGTCCCCGGAGACACTTACTGTCTGGAAATGCGAAATTTAAAACCTGGCCTCCTGTCTCCCTCGCTCTCTGCCCCCTCACCCCTCCTCTCCCTCGCCTGCAGCCCAGCTCCGGCCCCTGGTGGAGGAGGCAGCGTCCCGGGACTTGCAGTTTGTGTATGCGCTCTCCCCCGGCCAGGACATTGTCTTCTCCAGCCCCTGCGACGTGGGCCTGCTCAAGCGCAAGCTGAAGCAGGTAGTGAGACGCTGGCCTTGGCCTCCTCCCCTCCAGCCTTTCTTCCTCTTTCTCCGGGCAGGCCTGGAGCGGTGTGTGTCATAGCCGTCTCCTCTCTTGCTCGCGTCGGGTCCTCTCTGTGTCTGATCATGCTGTCAGCTGCAGGCTGTCACCAACGCTGTCTGCCTTATGTCTGTCCCCCCACCCTCTTCCACCAGGTGGCAGATTTCGGGTGCAAGGCCTTTGCCATCCTATTTGATGACATCGATCACTCCCTGTGCCAGGCTGACAAGGAGGCCTTCTCTTCGTTTGCTCACGCCCAGGTGTCTGTGGCCAATGAGATCTTCCGGTTCCTGGGAGAGCCGCCCATCTTCCTGTTTTGCCCCACAGGTAGGCTGGGACTGAGAGAAGGGGCTGGGTGTCGTCACTCACTTCTCCCACCAGGGAATCCCTCACTGAGGCCTGGGGTCTCCTGTTTTTAAGAGTGGGCCTTATCCACATCTATAGGGAGCTGCTGTGCAGGGTTTAGGTGTCCACACCGACAGACAAATCAATCAAGTTGACTGTCTTTTTTTCACATTGGCAGGACAGTACTTCTCTCAAAAACTGCTCTAGTCGCGGACAGATTTGAGGAGTAATATTTTGTTTTTGTTGAAGGAATGGGAGCCTATCTCCCTATTCTAAAATGCACTCAATAACCAGGAGAGGCTGGTTTTAGCCAAGGGATTCTTCACTCGGGAAAGCAGAGTTCCCTAAAAACACAGAATAGCAAGCTCTCTTGGCAAGTTTCAAATACTGAGCTGTTCCTTTAAAATAATCTGAAAATTGTCTGTTCGTTTTGGACGATCTGGAACAAGGAGTTCTTTCCTTCAATATTTTTCTCTTTCCCTTATTGTTCCCCCATATATGGTACTTTCTGGACTGTTGATTGACAAACACGTACCCAGAACCTTATAAACTAGCCTAAACCAAGGTAAACTTCATGATTGCTTTGATCGCTGAATCTGGACCCCTACTTCTCAGCCAAACATCCATTTGCTTGGCAACTGGAAATGTGACAATAGCTAGGAGTTCCCTGTATTTAGATTCTCAGAGACATGGCCATAGTCACCTAGAGCTGTAATAGTATTAAGTCCTGAGAAGCAGACTCCCAGTTTGAAGTTGCTCCTTCCCATTATGTTCCAGTATCAGCACACTGAAGAAATGGCTCACAGGTACAAGAGAGTGGCTGTTATGATTTAGCCCAGATGCCTGTCTTAGTGTGCCTTTGCCCTTCGAGGTCAGTGTGCTATGTTCAGTTGTGGAAGGGCACCATGACTCGTTGCGTTGTGCAATGTTTCAGAGTACTGCAACTCCCTGTGCTCACCCAGTCTGGCCAAGTCTCCTTACCTGAACACTGTGGGTGAGGATCTCCTTCCTGGCATCACTGTCATCTGGACTGGTGAGTAAAACTAGCAGGAGAGCCTCTGTGCCAAGACACACAGCAACACACGCCTCATGTGTTAATGTACAGAGACACACAGCAACACACACCTCATGTGTTAATGTACAGAGACACACAGCAACACACACCTCATGTGTTAATGTACAGAGACACACTGACACTGCACTGACACACACCTCATGTGTTAATGTACAGAGACACACTGACACTGCACTGACACGCCTCATGTGTTAATGTACAGAGACACACTGACACAG